CCAACACACCCACCAGGACAATGGTTACGTCAAGGCTTTCTGTCCCCATGGCAACGGAAGGCCTAGTCTGGGGCTTGGTGATTTAACGACGGGCTTGGATTAGCAGGGAAGCAGAAATGAGTTTCTCCAGCCAAAAGCAAGGTGAAAAGTTTTTGGGGAGCTGCGTCTTCTGGTGGATACTTCGGAGAGACAGAGATGGGGAGGAAAAAGAGGCAGGTAGAACTGCCCAGAGTGACAGCTGGAGCCAGAGACAAGCTCCAAAGTCATTTCAGGCTTGATTCAGAATCAGTGATTTGCATTGGAATGGTATCTTTTAAAAGCTCTTCTTTAAATCGAGGATACGTGATTTAATTTTCTTTACACTTCGCCAAGCGACATCATTATTTTCCATTTTACAGAAAGGAAAATCGAGGCACAGAACTTTAACGAACAAAATCAGATGGAAAACTTTAAAGACTCGATCTCTCTTCTTCAAGTTTGCCAGTGCTAGACTACATGGAATGAGTCACACATGGGTAGAGCCAGAGCCTGAAGAACAACTTGGTTGGGTTCCGGTCCACAGGTGGCTGGCTCCCCAAATCTGATGTCAGCTCAAGTTTTGGGATCGTCCTTCAGACTGCCCTTCGACATATTTTTTTTAACTTGCATAAGGTTTATTATGAACAAATAAATTAATTAATTAAATCGCGATCTGCAAGACCCCAAGAAGGCCCTTGCGCGTGTCTGTCCCCAGATGTTCCCTGTGACCGCTTTTCGCGCGACTGCAGCTACCGCGCTGTGGCTCTGGCCCTTTAAGTGAGCGAGCCAGGCCCCGCCCCCGGCCTGGCGCAAAAAAAAAAAGCCTGGCGGCCGCTCGTCCTGACGTGTGCCCCGCCCTCCCCAGCTGTGCATACTCGATCCTCCTGTGTGCGCACGTCAGGATTCCCAGCCATGTCAGCCGAGAGAGAAGTAGCAGAGGCAGCCGTCGTGGTGGCGGCGGCCGAGGCTGGGGCCGGAGAAGACGCCTCTTCGCAGCCCCCGGATGGCAAAGCAGCCAGCGATGCCCAGCCACCCAAGGCCTCCGAGGAGGCCGCCGCCGCGTCGCCTCCGCAGTTGCGTTGCCTGGTGCTCACAGGATTCGGAGGCTACGACAAGCTGAAGCTGCAGACCCGGCCGGCCGCGCCCCCGGCCCCTGGGCCCGGCCATCTGACGTTGCGCGTTCGAGCCTGCGGGCTCAACTTCTCTGACCTTCTGGCTCGGCAGGGGCTGCATGACAGGCTGCCGCCGCCGCCCCTCACTCCGGGCATGGAAGGCGCGGGAGTCGTGATCGCGGTGGGCGAGGGCGTCAATGACCGTATGGTGAGCGGGCCAGGGCAGGGCAGGGAGAGGCTGCGCAGGCCAAGCGGCATTGGGGCAGGAGTGAGAGGGTGCCAGGGGTGTGGCAGGGCTGAGGAATGTGGCACGGTCTGAGTTTGACGGGTATAGAAAGCGTTGAAAAGCAGCCTGGTTCTGAGGCTCATGGAGAACTGGATTTATATTTGAGGGTGGGGGTAGAGACAGAGTTATCGCCCCTTCCTCAACCATTTTTAACTGTGGCCGCCGCCCAGAAGCTGCGATGGTGGGTGTGTGGGGGAAAACAATAAGGCTTCCCACGCGCATGCGTACAATGGCCTACACCCCACCCCAATCCCCAGAAAAACCACACCTGTACCCCTACCCGCCAAATACTCCCCAGGTAATTGTGGTCTCTGAACCTGAATGACGGTTGTGCCTCTTTCCCCGAGGGAGCTTGAGGAGCTATGTATTCGGGGTTTGGCGGGGGCGTATGGCGGTGCCAGAGCCCTAGTCACATGCAGCCCCGTGGTCTGTTGGGGTGTGAGGCGGCCCCTCCCAGAGCAGGGCCAAGAGACGAGACACGCCCATCTTGAAGGAAAGGGAGACTGCCGCCACCCCTCCACCCGCTCTACACTGCCAGTCTGATTTGGGGGATGGCGGGAGGGAGGCACGAGGAGAGGGAAAGATTGGGTCTCTGAATCTTTGTCTTGGACTCTGCCTCCCGTGACTGCAATATCTCCTCCTCCGGTGACTCTGCTGTAGGGCCACGACCCCGGGTGTGCCCTTGGGAACGTTCCGGCGGTCAGAACCCGCTTCTGCCTTCCTTGTGGAGGACTCTCAGAAACCCCGGCATTGCCCGTTTGGTCTGGGGTTGGGGATGTGGCACTGGGAGCAGGTTGGCCCAGCTCTGCCAGGCTGTTTCTCTTTTTCGTTTATCAGTAATCTTGGCCACAACCCTGGACACCAGAGAGTTCCAAATGACCAACTTTTTGAGAAACTTTGGGTGAGCCTTTGCACGTCATTTGTTGAGGGGTTTCCTTTCAAATCAGGTCCCTGCAAGAGAGGCTCTTAAGATGCAGCCTTCTTCTTACCTGACCTGTCTGTTCCAGATCTCAGAGCTGGAATTCTTGGATTTTTTTTGTACATGCGAACATCTCTTTAAGGGGCTTTTTTTCTGAATTCAGCTCTGGCCTCACCCTTTCCACTGACTTCTAAATAATCCTACTCTTGAGAAGGTGCTACGAGGAATTTTTTATTTTTTTCTTTTTGGTGGGGGGAGTTACTGCTCAAGGCCACCCACCTAACCTCTCCTCCCCACACTTTCCGCTTGGTAAATACAGGATATCCTGTCCAGGGCAAGAATCTGATTGTAAGAGGCTGGATTTTCTGGGGAGAGCCCTCTCTGCCTCCCAGTATTCCAGGGCTGACCCTGCTCTGTGATGGGCTGAGGGGTGGGCATTAACCTGGGTAAGTGGTGAGCCTTGTTCTGGGCCAGATCTGGGCCTGGCCACCACCCAGACTGACCACTGCATTTTTCCCAGGCTTCCAGGGTGATTGCCGAGCCTGCTAGTCCTGAGTCCTGGGGTAGAATGCTTCCATTCCCTAGACCTCATCTCAGACCAGTGCTTACAGGGAAAGATCCCAGCCTACCCTGAGAAGTCTTCCTCAGTGGAGTGTGGGGCCTTGAGGACATGAAAAAGGGTGTGTAGGGGAGTCCCATCCTCCTTCTTCATGGATCCCAAGTCTGGTTAGTATACAGAATTCCCATCATTCCTGGCAGGAACCAAGACGGACCCGGATTGTCCCAGAACAGCACTCAAACCTCCCTCTCTGTGCTCTTCAGAGAGGGAGGACAGGCCTGCCTTTCTCCTGAGACGGCCCCCTTTCCCCGTCCTCCCCTTGACTCCAGTTGCTAAGCTGCGAGGAAGGGTTCTGTTTTCTCCCTTTCTCTCCTATAAGGAGGCTCACCTGCAGGTTGCTGAGAGTGAGGAAAATATCTTTTCCTGGTGGGTGGGATTGTGTGGCTCTCCTTGTCCACCACCCTTCCCCCATCTCTGGGTGAAGGTGTCTTCTTGGTCCCCAATGCTGGCTCAGATACTTCTGAAGTGACCACACCCAACTCTAACTGCTCAGAGACCTTTACCTGTGCGGTGATATGGCACGTACCACATACTCCCTCTTACTTCAGTCACTGGATTAGTGATCTCCCCTCCTTGCTATTGTTACTGTCACTATTTGTTATCATTATTATTAGCTAAACATACTAAGTGCCTACTATGTGGCTAACATTGGGCTAAAAAAAAAAATCACTGAATGATTTTTTTGCCACTTAATCTTCATAACTGCCCTATTTTATAGATAGGAAAACTGGGGCTCAAAAAGTTAAGTAATTTTTTATTGGCCCGAGGTCATACTGTCAGTAAACAGTAGAACCCATTTTTTTTAAAACAGAAGCAGTTTGATCTCTTCAACAATACTTCATACTGCCTTAAATGTAAGCTTCTTGCATCAGGGACCTTACACAATTGTAAAGTCTAACATCTGTAAAATGGAGATAAAGATAGGATCTACCTCAAAGAGCAGTCATAAGGATTAGTTGAGCCTTCATATATAAATCACTTATAATAGGGCCTGTACCTTGGTAAGCACTCAATAAAGGTAAGTTATTGTTTTTGATGACATTATTTTTATTACTATGACTACTACTGCTGCTTCTGCTGTTACTGCATTACCAGAAAGAGGGCCTTGTACATAACGGAAGGTCTCACATTGCTAATGGGTGAGTGAATGAGTGACTAAATCATGCTTTTCTTCCATTCTTCAAGGTAGGGGACCGGGTGATGGTGTTTATCCGGTCAGGCATGTGGCAGGAGGAGGTGACTGTGCCCTCAACCAACACCTACCTTATGCCTGAGACCATGACCTTTGAGGAAGCTGCTGCTTTGCTGGTCAATTACATCACAGCCTACATGGTCCTTTTTGACTTCGGCAACCTACAGCCTGGCCACAGTGTCTTGGTACACATGGCTGCAGGTGACAGGCTCCTTCCCTTCATCCCCACTCCTTACCCCACCTAGATTTCCTTCTAGGCCCCTTCCCTGCAGCAGATCTCGACTGCTGTCATGGCAACAACAGGCTGCCTTGGCCTATGGCGCCCAGAGGCCTCTGCAATATTGTTGCCGTGGCAACTTTCAGGCATCAGGTCCAGCCTGATGTGCTATCCATAGCAACATACCCTCACCCAGCATCCCTTTCTTGCCAGCCACCCTCCCCCCAATCCTCAGTCATAGAAATTGGACATGGGATTAGGGGAGAAAGCCTCCAAAGGAGCCCAGGCAAACTGAAGGTGATGGTCTGGGTCCTTGAGAGGCAAAAATGGAGAGTGGTGGCTGGGTGACTCTATATCCTGTCCTCTCCTTACGAAAGTGTCTTGTTGCAGGGGGTGTGGGTATGGCTGCCTTGCAGCTGTGCCGTACAGTGGAGAATGTGACAGTGTTCGGAACGGCCTCGGCCAGCAAACACGAGGTGCTGAGGGAGAATGGGGTCACATACCCCATTGACTACCATACGACTGACTATGCAGATGAGATCAAGAAGATCTCCCCCAAAGGTGGGGTCAGGGTATGGGAAGGGGTAGGGTAGCATGAGGTAGGGAGAGGGTCTCCAGATTAGTGGCTTCTAATGTTGTTTCTGGGCCCCCTTACTCTATGACAGGAGTGGACATCGTCATGGACCCTTTAGGTGGGTCAGATACTGCCAAGGGCTATAACCTCCTCAAACCAATGGGCAGAGTGGTCATCTATGGTAAGTCAGGGGGCCAGAATGGAGAGGACTTAGGAGAAGCAGGGTGGGATATAGGGGCCTAGGGCTTTTGAGTGAAGAAGGGGCAGGGACTCAGGTGCTCTAGTGTCAGGGCCTGGGTGTTGCATTCAGATTGCTGCTGCCTGGGCACAGCTACTGTTTTTACAGCCTTGCATGCAAGTCATAATTCATTCTGTTTTTACAGCCTTGCATGCAAGTCATAATAAATTCTGTGTTCTTTCTGTGTTCCTGTTTGGGAATTATTCCTGATGCAAAATCAACCAGTCTGCCTTCTGTTTTACCCTCCTGAGATTCTTGGGCAAACTTCATTTCCATTTAAAAATATATATCACACAAAAATAAACAAAGATTAGAAGCATTTTCAAGTCACCTGGAGTCCTTTTGGGCCTGGTAGCCTGAATGTGGGGGATTATCTTGTCACTCCCTGGCACTGGTGTGGATAATTATAAGGGGCCTGCAGTGGGCAAATGAGCATGGATCTGGACACACAGGGATGCGTCTGGCACCTGGATTCACAGACTGTCTCCTTGTCTCTCAGGAATGGCCAACATGCTGACAGGCCCCAAGCGGAACCTGATGGCCTTGGCACGCACATGGTGGAATCAGTTCAGTGTGACAGCTCTGCAGCTGCTACCAGCCAACCGGGCTGTGTGTGGCTTCTACCTGGCCTCCCTGAATGATGAGGGGGAGTTGGTCAGTGGTGTGGTGGCCCGCCTCCTGGCTCTGTACAACCAGGGCCACATCAAACCCCACATTGACTCCGTGTGGCCCTTCGAGAAGGTGAGTGTGTGATGGCTCTGCAGGGATGGCCTGGGTAGGACCTGAACCTGTGAAGGCTGGGGTCCCAGGGGTAGAATTCCTCCTTTAGGCTGGCTCTCTAGAGGGGCTGGATGGCACTGGGAGCAGTCTTGTCTTCTTCTCCAGGTGGCGGATGCCATGAGGCAGTTGCAAGAGAAGAAGAATGTGGGCAAAGTCATCCTGGTGCCTGGGCCAGAGAAGGAGAACTAGGGCGGGGGCTGGGAGACCCTCGGGACCCGGGAAGAGAGAAGCTGGGAAGCCGCATTCTGCTGGCCAGCAGACCCTTGAATTTATCCTCTACCATAATGCTCTGCCCTCTCTCCCCCAACTGTCTCCGTGGTGATGACCTCTTCCCCCATCCTGTTCTTTCTCTTTAGTCAGGGCTGCCCCCTCCCTCCTTCCTTCCCTATGAAGAGGTTGGGAAGTGACCACTTGGATGTCTGGGCCCTGCCAAGGGGACAGGGAGGGTTAGAGGGAGGCCGGCTGCTTCCTGACCCCACCCTTTCCCCCGGGCCTGCTGTGCTGCTTTTGTGCCAAGGCTAGCCAGTCCCTTCCCATCTTGTTCTGCGTGCTTCCGCCTCTGCCTCATCTCCCCTCCTGCTTCTGCCCCACCACCTCCCCAAAGAAGTGAAATGTCAGCTCAGGATATGGGGCCAATCTGTGTGAGTCCAGCATGTCCCTTCAACCCGAGCCGGCCAGTGCCCACCTCTGAACTCCCTTGCCTCACTGCATGGCCTCATCCTCTTGTCCCCAAGTTCTTAAGCACAATTGGGCTTCTTCCACCTCTAGGTTTACTGCTACTCTTAACCAAGGTTGTCTCTTACAACAAGGGCAGGAACCTGCTCCCCTAGGTCATGACTCTGTGGGAGGGACACGGAGCCCCCCTTCCTTCACTGAGTTCTCTGGATTTGTTCTCAGTGCCTTAGCAATGGAAAACTTGTGCTTGTGTATGTGTGTGTGTGGGGGGTCCCTGTCTCACACCTTCTCTACTCCTGTACTCCCCAGTGCCTTCCTTGTTCTGGTGGAGCTGGGGTTTTGCTGCTCCCCAGTCCCACAACACTACCAAAAATCTGTGTGTGCCAATGGATGGGAGGCCAGCCCGTAACCACCTGGGGTCTGTGCCATGTCCTGTCTCTGGGGCTGTCAGTTCTCTATAGGTGGTTGAGGAGAAAGGTGGGGAAGCTTTCTCAGCCTTGCAGATAAGTGTGATATTTACCAGCCAGAGCTCTGGGAGGCAATGCTATCTATTTCTTATCTTGGGACCAAATTAAAAATTAAAGCACATCCCCACACAGTCATGGAAGGCCCCCTGCCTTCTCAGAGCAGGGAGGCAGCTTTTCAGACTCAGCCCCAAACTTCGTTTACATGGGTGGGGAGATGGAGCAGGGGAGTAAGGGGGGGTGTAGAACTTGGGCTACTAGAACCAAAGGGGGGACTTTCTGGAGTAGGGGTGTATCTCCCTCTTTTCTCTGAGCTGGAATTAGGGAGGTTACTGCCCAGACCAATGCCAACGGGAGGAGGGTGGGAGGGGCTCGGCCTCTTTGTCTAAATGAGGCCTAAATGGTATGAAGTGCGACTTCTGCTTTTGTGTACCCCACCCCATTACCGAAGCTGCCTTTGTGTTTGTGTCAATAAAAATCCAAACCCTGGGTCCTGGATGTTGCTTCTGAGAGTGGTGGGGCAGGTGAGCTGGTGGAAGACCAGTGCTGATAGTGGAGGATTAGGGTTTCCACCTTCCCCCCAAGCCTCTTCCATGCCCAAATCCAAGTTTCCTTTCAAAAAGTGAAATGAGAAAGAGCACGCCGTGCAGGCACCTTTACTGTTCCAGGGCAGCGTTTTACAACAAGGAGTCCCTGCTTGCTATTGACCAGCATGACTTCTTTCATCTGCATGCACCTGACCCCAGCCTGGTTTTAGAACCTAGGCAGAGGAGTAGTGAGTGATGAGAAGGGCAAGCTTCTATCTAGCCAGACTCGGAGGTGAAGACCGCTAGGCCTCGCTGTCCCTTGGGCACGAATGTCAGGCTCTCTACCTCCCCTCCCCCACGGGTGGGCTTCTGGAAGTGGATCTCCAAGATGTCATGCATCTCCGGGCCATCCAGGACATCGGGAATGTTGAGCACCAGCACCGACTGGGGCATTGGCTGGGATCCGATCTGGAAAAAGAGCCGGGAGATGAGCAAAGGCTCACGACAGTCTGGAGTTGAGGGCAGAGGTTGGGGCAGGCAGTGCCCATGGGAGCATGGGAGGGGCAGGAGGCCTGGAGAGGCTGGCAGTGGGTAGGTCAGTGGGGTTTGGGGGCTTGGATCCTTCCTTGGGCAAGTTTCTGGCAGAGAAGACAGGTGACCTGGCCGAGTCCCCATTCTGCACCTTCCTACTTACCTCAGCCTTCTGAATCTCTGCACTCATGTACGGAGAGACTTTCAGAGGGACCTGCTGTCCACCCAGTGGCACTGTGAACTCACCAATCTGGCACAGGTGCTGGGCCACTGTGAGGACAGGGTGGAGTGGACCTTTAGCATCATGGGCTTTCCTTCCCTGGGGCCTGATGCATCTGCCTTAATCTCCCCAGTGGGGTCCTTACCTTCATCCTTAGCAAAGCCCAGCATGACAGCCCCGTGCAGCATTTCCCGGATTTCCACATCACCACCCCCATTCTTCGTCTTCCCAAAGAAGATCTCCAGCTTATCCAGCAGCTCCTCCTCACTCAGCCTGAGCTTGGCAGGAAACCCACTGACCAGCACTCTCTGCCTACTTATCTGGCTGGACACCTAGGGGGAGATAAGAAGGAGTAGTCCCAGGCATTCCCACACTCCCCCATGCCCAGGTGCACAGCATCCCCTGCATGTCCCAGGACGCTGCCATTCTATACCTGGATGGTGGTCACCACAGGCAGCTCCAAGGGCTGGACCTGCACCCGCAGATGGCATTCCTCCAGGTCGATCTTATGTTCCTTTTGTTGTAGCACCTGCTTGGCCACTGGGTGGGGGGAGCAGGGTCACTTCTAGGAAGCCTCCCAGCCTCCCTCCCAAGGCTTTCCCAGAAAGCTCACCCTTGGGGTCATCGAAGGTGACCAGAGCAGAGCCCCCATGCAGAGGGTAGCAGATCTGTAAGTTGGAAACCAAAGACCTGGGCACTTCCCTGCCCTGCTGAATGTGTCCTTGGAACACGAGGGGGACTTCAGGCACTAGGAATGGGACCTGGAGATGGGGGAGGGGAAGCTGATGCAGCCTTCAAGGGTGGGAGAGTTCTCCACTCCCTCCCAGGAAGAAAGTGTCCCCAGTTCCATGTGATTGATACTGAGTGCCAGGGACAAATACATTTATTGCAAGTAGAGCTGGATAATTGAGTGGACGCATGCAGGTTAAACCTGTACTGGCACTTTACGTACAAGATCTTAGTTTGTCCTCACACAAGCTTGCGAGGTAGGTAGTTCCACTTTACAGATAAGAAAATAGGTTCAGAGTATTGTGTTTAAGTAACATACTTAAGGTCACACAGTGAGGAAGTGGCAGAGCTAAGAGTGAAACTAAGAAGTCACCCGGCTTTCTATCAAGCCACACTGCTTCTCCCAGCTTACCTGGGGGTAGTTCTCGAACTCCCTTTTCAGCTGCTGCAGCTCCTGCAACCTCATCTTTAGTCTGGCCTGCTCCTCCTGAATGATGTGGAATTGTCTCTCCATGAAGGGTGCCTGTTAGGACAGAGGGGAACAACCAGATCTCCACCTGCCTTTCTAGAAAATGAGTAAGCCCAGGGGAAGGGAGACCCTATTCTGGACTCCCCAGGAGCAGAGTTGATGCTCAGCCCAAGAATAACCCAACCCATTTACCCGGCCTTGGGCTGGTCCTGGCCCCCTCTGCTGAGGACTTGGTAGCCTCAGCCACTCTCTGAAGGGCAGAAGCCTTTGCAGCAGGCATGACTGGTTCCTTATTGATACCTAGAGTTTAACAAACACTGATCGAACCCCTGCTATGAGGTGCTGGAGACTGATACAAGGCAATAGAAGACAAGGGTCTAGCCCTCAGGCCTGTACAAAACAGTACCCAAGACTGCACGATCACAGAATTGATTGCAGGGGACAGCAGGAGTTTGAAGGAGGGGCAGTCCCAAAGGAGTTAACACAGGGAGGCCTCCCGGAGGAATGGGGGATTAGAGTTGCAAAAAATGTCATAATACTATCAGCTGACATGTATTAAGCACTAATTAAACATCAGGCACTGTGCTAAGCCCTTTGTATGGATTGTATCACTCAGTTTTCCCAACAACCCTATGAGATAAATATACCCTTTTATCCTTTTTTACAGATGAGGAAACTGAAGCTCAGAGATGTTAAGTCACTTAGCCAAAGTCATTTGGTCCTAGGCAGTCTGACTCTGAACTGCTAATCTGTGCTTTACAGTAAAGAAATCAAGCCAAATTGGGGAATAATTTACTCTACATCTCTCAGCTTGTCCCTTGACTGCCACCCCTCCTACTGATTCAAGCAGCCTTTCAGGCTGGGTGTGATTTGCAACAGGTCCAGAGAAAAAGCTGACAACATGGGTGGGGGAATGATACCAGGGATATGAATAAATGCACCTTTGTTAGTTGGAGCAGACGTTAGCTGGCAGAGTTCACCCTGCGGTTCGGAAGCCTGATAAAAAAGGTCAGCCCAGAGTCTAAGTGAAGATGGGACTCTGTCCTGGTCATCTGTATCACCAGTTCAGCAGAGTCCCTGGCATTCAGCCAATGTTTGTTGAATGAATGACAGGACGGGAGCATATTACAGAGGGCATTGAAGAAATTTAGTGAGTTCACTCTTTTAAGCAGAAGAAAACTAGGACTTAAATAATGCTGCTTTATGAGGAGTGAGGAAGTTATCTCATTCTTAAAATTTCTGCAAACAAGGGGTTGCAGATGCAGTGCCTATGAGGGTCAGACAGGTGACATCAGTGAGTCAAGGGAGCCAGTATAGTATAATAGAGTGGTGGGGACTCTGACATACTGGAGAGAGCATGTCCCCACTAAAGTGGCTACCTCTTCTCAGCTCTAACCAGGTTTTTTGACATGGAAGTGTCATCCCAGTATCCCATATCTTCCCATTTTTAAGGGAAATAAGAAATCTGGATTTTTATTTGAAAAAGATGGCTCAATTTAAAAAATATATGAAAAGTGAAATACATTACTAGGCTGGATTGAGTCCTCAGTCCATCTGCTTTTAACTTCTGCCTTAAATCTCGATCTAATTATACATAATTGAAAATCTAAAAAGGACCAAAAAAATGAAAAAAAAAAAAAAAGAAAATCTAGTAATTGGCAATGCTAGTTAATAAACAGCTTAATAAAAATAAATAATCGTTTATGTCGTAGAGTATTTAAAGAATAACTCAAGCAGGAGAGTTTAGATATGATATCAGTAGGAAATGGGGAACTAAGTGAAGATTTCTGAAAGAAGGAGTGAGGTGATAGACACGGTGTTTAAAAGAGATCTTAGCAGTGATGACAGGATGAACTGGGGCAGGAATTGTGGAGCGAGGAAAACAAACCCAGACTCTGTGGTTCTAGTTCCCACTAATTTGACAGGAGCTGACTTGGGCCTCCAGCAGTGGCTTCAAAGAAGCACATGTGGAGAAGTACATTTCATGAGGAAAAGCCCCCAGATTCTGTGGATGTTTGTATCAAAGAGGCAGAGAGGACCGAACTGGTGAGATGATGCCAAGTTGCAGACCTGGATGTCTGAGAATTTGGTATAATGCCACTGACCCAGCAAGCAAGGAAAGAGAGCCAGTGGTTATTGATGGCCTGTAAAGTGCCAGGCACAGTTGGACTCCATCTCATTTAAGTATCACAGAACGACCATCCTTTCTCTAACTCCCAACTGAAACTTCTCTTTTACAGGACCCTCTTAAGGACAACACAGGCTGGCTGTAGTCACTTACTTGAATTCCACTGTACAGACTCTTTATTTACATAACATGATAACATGGTTTCTAAATGCAAGCCAATGTCCATTTGGAAAAAAACCTGCAATCTATTCTACATTGAGCTCATTGAGAGATTTTAAACTCTGGATACTTAAGGAGCGAGTTCATGATTTAAAGTTAATTTTGACTATATACATTCTTCTGCCCTACTCGCTGAGTTTAGAACCTCACTACCCCATAAGATAAAATCTCATGCTATCTGTGTTCACCACGGGAGTACTGGGAGGCGGTTTAGCATAACGGTTAAGACCACAAATTCTGGGGCCAAACCTCTGGGGCTTACATCAGCTCCTCTTACTACTTCAAGTTTTTTAACTCCAGTCAGTGCCTTTCTTTCCTCACATGTAAAATGTGCATAATAGCAGTTTCCACCTGTGTATAATTTTGCTTGGAACAGTGGTGCTTGGCACATAATAAATGCTATCTTACATGTTTTCTATTTTAATAAGACCCATTTTTATAGATGAGGAACCAGAGAGTCATCAAGTTTAACTAATGGGTCAAAGTAAATCAAACCCAAGGCCACTGAAGACACATAGGGTCAGGAAGAGGACTTGACGGATAAGGCTCTGGGATAGAACAGCATTTGGTGATGGTCAAAGCCAAGAGGATGGAAGAGCTCTCTGAAGGACAGAGCTTTAAAAATGTAATCTTTGAGGATAAGTGGTCAGAGGTCAGGAGAGACAAAGGAATGCAGAGAAGAAATAGAGAAGATAAGCAGGTCAGAGATAAGCAGGGCCAGGCCAGGATTGGGCAGTGTCAGACACACAGGAAGAGGGATGAAATGGAGCTGCAAAAATAGGGCTGCAAGAAAGGCATTTACTCACTGTTCACTTGCCTACTCATTCACTCATTCAACAATTAGCTACTGAGCATCTACCATCTGCCAGGCCCTGTTCTAGGTTCTGGGGACACAGAAGTAAACAAAACAGACAAAACTTCTTTGTGAAGTTTACATTCTAGAGGATAAGTCAGACAATAAGCAGAATAAATAAGCAAAATATATCTTATGTTAGTGATAAGTGTTACAAACATAAAGCAAGGAAAGGAGCACAGAGAATGCTGGAGGACAGTTTTAAATAGGGTGATCGGAATAGGCCTCGCTGAGATATCTGATCATATACTTGAAGATGAAGGAGCAAGCCATGTATACATGTTGAGGACAGTTCTATGCAGAGAGAACAGCGAGTGCAAAGGCCCTGAGGTAGGAGTTTGTCAGGTATATCTGTAGAATAGCAGGGAGGCCAATGTGGCTGGGACAGAGGAAGCAAGGGGAAATTGGTTGGAAATGAAGTCACAGAGGAAACGGGGTTGGAGCATTCAGGGCCTTTTACTCAATGTGAGGGGAAGCCATAGGCAGCCTTAAATGTTAACAGGATTCCTTGGCTATTGTGTGAATAGAGAGATGTGAGAAGTTGGCACAAGCAGGGAGACCACTTAAGAGGCCATTACAGTGTCCAGGTGAACGATGCTGGTGGCTTGCACCAGGTGGCAGCATTGGAAAATGTGAGGAGCAGTCTAGATTGACTAAAGTTGCTAATGGATTGGAAATAGGGTGTAGAGGAAAGAGGGGAGTCTGGGATAATGCTAAGCTTTTTGGTCTGAGAAACTGGAGGGAAGGAGAGACATTTGCTGAAATGGGGAATACTGTGGCTGGAAGTGATTTGGGGTAGAAAGTTAGGGGGCTATTTTGAACATGTTAGGTATGAAGTGCCTATCTGACATCCCAGCAGAGATGTATAGTGTCAGTTGTCTCTACCGATCTGATCTAGCATTCAGGGAAGAGATTCAGGCTAACAGTATAAATTTGGGAATTATCCATGCAGAGAGATTTAAAGTCACAAAACTTAATGAGAGCAACAAGGGGTGGATGTAGATAGAAAAGAGGTCCAAGGGCTGATTTCTGGGGCATCCAACACTAAGGTTTGGGGAACAAGGAGGTACAGAAGAGTGGCTAGTGAAACCCGAGGGAGAGGTGAGGTGTGTAGAACAAAGGAGTTTCAAGGAGGAGGAGGAGGGGCCAGCAGCTCTGCCAAATGCTGCTAACAGGCCAGCTTCGATGAGGAATGAGAATGACCACTGAGACTGAGCAACAAAAAGCCAGTCCTGCTTATCATAAGGAAATGGTCAGAAGTTCATGTACAAAGATTATTATTGTAGTCTTGTTTACAACAAAAAGAAGGAAATGTCCAACAACAGAGGAATAGCTAAATAAATATAAAATATTATGTAAAAATTAAAAGACATATTAATGAAAAACATATGTGGAAAAAAGCTCACAATAAGACAAAAAAGCAAAATTTAAAACTATATTAAGATCCCTATTCTGTTGATTTAAAAAGTTTTAATTCATTAATAAATATCCATAAATAAGGATCCTTATTAATGCATTAAAAACTTTGGGTAGACACCACAATGTTATTAATAAATGTTGTCTCTTAATAATGAATTTAGTGTGATTGAAAAATAAAAAGTTTCCTAAACCCACCTTCCTTCCTTCCATTTTAAAATGTAAAAGT